CAACTTTTCTCAGCGTGCAGGAAACGTTGTATCATCCAGACTCATTGGACTGCATCACCTGACAGCTCTAACCACTGCCAGATCAAATTTTGAATTTAATGAGTCCAGCCACACCCCAATGCGGTCAGGCTCAAATTGTGATTGTGATTGTTGGTGTAGCCACAGTATTGGCACAATCTAGACTAACTGTTGGTTATGTCAGCAAAGCCACACCCACAGTCAGTCACAGCTTTCCTCCCACGGCAGCTCCACTTCCACAGTCCTCTCTGTAACATATCCAAGAGAGAGTAACAGGAAACAATAGCAGCAGAAAGCTGGTGTCTCTGCTGATCTCTCCTCTATAATCTAGTATCCCTGCTGTGGGCCTCAGCACAACAAGTTCAAAACATTAAAAAAGAAAAAGAAGCAGGGTTTCACTCCTCATCGCTCCATTTTTATATCTGAAGATTCTTCAAATATGTGGAAAGAATGAAATAAACTGCACCAAAATGCATGTAGGGGCTTGGCTGGAGTTGTTGGTGTAGTGGTAGCACTTCACTGTATATCATCATTGTGTACTTCAAAGAACCCCACAGAGTATATTTCCAATTAATTCAATTAATGTACTGTATAAAAAGAGCGGTTGTGTCGCGATCATTATCCTCTCAGAGCAGGACTGCCATCAAATCACCACACCTGTGGTTCAAGAAACAGCACTGGAACAACTTACCACACAGTTTGAATAGATACATTGATACATTAAGGTTAAATACTCTCACTATTATAAGTCACTTGTATGTTACAAGTACAGTTAAAGTCTGTCACATTGAAAGATACTATAGTGTAGATCATTAGTAAGAGGTCTGACTATATTTATGTTGTACGTTTTTTTATTATTTTATTTCTTTATTGTTGTTGTCAAATACCAAAATTATGTAAGAATACGATATTATTATTTGGCCATGATGAGCACTAGTTTGAGCAAAATATCATAATGCTCAGTCAGGAGTAAACAGAGGCATTGTGGGATACGTTACAGCAACCAATGAAATTATGATATCAGGTTATTTCACTAAATCACATTCATTGCATTACGAGTTTATGAAAAATGGGATTCATGCATCACAACACTGATTTAGAAATGATGCTGCTGATATGATAAATAGAAGACTGAGGGAACGTGTCCATCTGACCGACTGTTTCTTTGTGTGTTTGTAGATGGAGCCTCCCGCACGGACGTGCTCGGACTGACGTGGATGGCATTTGTCCTCACAGTGACAGTGGAACTGACGTGAAACCGCTCATCCAAGACACTCTCGCACACTTGCCCTTCTTACGCAACATCCACATAATCCACACATGCACACAGAAACACACACAAACACACACTTTCCACAATCCTGCAAGCCTTCTCCAGTCATCAACAAGACCCTCCATGCGTCAGTCGATCAGGAAACAGCGCCATCACGGGATGGCGCTCCACTGTTTTTGTAACAAAATAATAACCAAGATAATGATATCAAAAAGAACAACAACGTGATGAACATGACAGTTACCACCTCCTATATAGCCCTGCCCAGTTACACCTTTTTTTTGTTTCTTGTCCCACGTCTGCCTGTTGATCAATAAAATCAGTTGATTTGAAACAGAAAAGAAAAAAGCATTTGGATTTTATTTGGAGTCAAAATGTCATTGGTTTTGACTGAAATGTGAAAAGTGGAACTGGCTTAGGCTGCGCCACCATATCAACCGCACCCGTTTGTTACGTGTCCTGGGATGCACCTGAATAGGAACATGCTGATAAAACCACGGGGGAATAAACACAGATGCTCCAAGAGAACATTCTTTTTTTATTAATATACAGGTTTTCCCTTTTTTTTTTTCCTGATGGCTCGGAAGGTACAAGAGGATTTAAACACAGAGAGAAAACTAGAAAAAAAAAAAATCTCCTTTTTGAGTGTATTTTGTGTACATCAGTGTAAATATTGAAAATAATTAAAGAGGTTATATGGGATATGGTGAGGAACGGTTGCTGAGATAGCTGGAGTTTACACTCATCCACCTTTGTTTGTACTTTCATTCAACACTGTTCTGAGATAATTTGTGGCTGAAAGGACAGAAACATTAACAGACTTTCTGTTTCTCATTTGGGCTTTTTATATCTCTATGGCAGGTCTCCAAGGCCAGAATTAAAAAAAAAAAAAAAAAAAAGAAAAAAAAAAAAAGATCTAACATATGTCTGCTGTTTTGGGGTTGTGGTGCATGTGACGTTTGAAGATTCTTTCTCCTTTTGGTGTGTTGCAATTGACAGCACTGCAACTCATTGTCACTGGCCTGTAATCCAGTTATTTACTTGTGACATACTATTTTAAGTGACCTACATTGTGTACGATACGTAACTCTTACCCCACGCATTTACAGTACTTGTAGGATCATTTTAGCCGCCATTTACAGGGAGGTGCTCACCTGAGGCAGCGTGTGTAAACAGGGTTGTTGCATTTGTTTCATTTCACCTGTATTAAAATGGAGAGATGATGAAACTCACAAGCCTTGACTTTACTTAAAACACATGTGTTTGACGTGTTCAGCCGTAGATCTGCATCTTCCATCTGTCTCATCCGTTAATGCTCGGTGCAGGTCATATACAGTATCTGATACTGCACATACCTGTGCATCTAGATTGTTGCAGGGACTGTTAATTTGATGAGAATCTCACCGTATCAGGGAACTTTGAAAGACAGGCCTGCCAATGCCAAGAAGACAGACTTGTTTTCATTCGTCCTCGACTACAGCCAAGCTCCAATAATTACTCTGCTTCAGATATTTCTGATTGTATTGACCCCATCGTGACTTCTGAAGGAGATTCTGACATTGCCGTTAACCCTTTGCAGTTTGTACTCTCTCTCACACATACACGGTGAAGAGTTGCTTAATGCAAAGTAATCCTGCGTTTTTTGGACTTCACAAGAATTGCAATTTAAGCTATTCTAAGGACGCAACATGTATTAAGGGATTAAGGTTTAAACCAGGTGGGAGGTAAGAGCAGAGATTTTTGAAAGCTTAGGTGAATAGAAAGGATAGACCTACTCGTTTGGGATATCGGCTCACCTTGCCAAAGTACAATCCATATTCCAGCGATGAGAGCTGCATAGCACAAACATTATTAACAGACAGTCCTATGTGCTGTGAATTAATTTTTTTCTTTTTTTTTTTTTTTTTTTTTTTTTTACCAGTGGAGGGAAGCAAAGGGCGCAAATCCTTGTCCACCCACTGTATAGCATTAACTCAGCTAGCATTTTAATTTGGATTCAAGAGGCACTTTTATGCTTTTTTTTTTTTTTGCTTTTATCACTCACTTTGCATTCAGGAGAGGAAAAGCGGGTCCATCTGCATTTCTGAAAGCATTAGAGAATGTACAAAATTGTCTTTATATGACTTAATAATCGTAACATTAGAAGAAGTGTATCATAGCTGTGTGTGTGTGTGTATGTCTGTGTGTGTGTGTGTGTGTGTGTGTGTGCGTGTGTGTCTGTGTGTGTGTATTATAAATGCCAGTGACTTAATAGTATGTATGAACACTTAATGTAACTTAAAATTCAGCATTATTTCAAACTCCTGAATGTGAAACAGTCACTTGTTTCCCTCAGTAGTGATTGTCCTAAATTATAGGGACATCAACGTGAACACAAGAGCAAGCTTTTGTATGCACCTTTCATTCACACATGAGGAAACCGTTCTGTTGTTCTGCTCCTTTATAAGTCACTGGAGGCTGGATGAAGTTTAAGCCACTGCAGCTTTATCGGTTATTATTTTTGTTATTATTATTTTTGATAACAGAATTGATGACTGAAAAGTGATGGTCACAAACTATTAAGCTTTATTTGTTTTGTGTTGAACTGACCACATGTTTGCTCAGCCATCTCCACAGGACTTATCGGAAAAAAAGAAAATACCTGTTGTGCCATCTTTTCTTGTTCAGTCACATGTTGCACGCCTATCATGGATGGCACAAGCAACAAGAGGTGAAAGTGCCTCTCCACAACAATGCACATGGCTGACAATCATGCTTTTTTTTTTCTCAGCAGTGTTCTGAATAGTTCACCTGAGCTTGGCGCTAACGGTGAGGATAAGAAGCTGCCTCTGTGGCCCATCTGTGAATTATTCAGGAGTCAACCACGCTCGCAGAATCCGGTTTCCTTTATGTGGTCTACGGGCTCAGCTATCAGATGACCAAACAGTGCCCATGTCAGCTAGGACACCTGACACACCCTCTCTGTGTGCCTCTCCACGTGATGCACTTTCGAACAGCTCCGCAGAGTGCTGTTAAAATAAACACTGGTCTGTTGTTGACCACACAGTGTGTTATCAGCAACACAAATGACAGCCTGACAGTGGCAACCGAATGACACGTCTCCCATGTGACAGAGATGTATGTTTGCATCCTGGTATAGCGTATGAAAATGAATGACAGGTTTTTTTTCTTATGACACTCTTTCCATCTGGCACTCATCAGGTGCTTTTGTATTATTTGCAGTAATATGTGTTTACAATGCCAAGTGCCATTTTGTTGTCTGAGAGCAATCTTCAGCTTCTTTTTAGTGAGGGTAATTTAAGCATCTGCACTGACACAGAAAAATGGACCTTTGATCTGTGGCATGGCTGTGCAAACAGATGTATCCTGTTTATTAAGTATTTGATAAATGTCATCTATCATCTCTCCCCACCCCTTATTCAAACCATGTTTCCTCCTGCAGCTCGAGCCGTGTGTTTGAGCAAGTTAAGGAGCATGTTCTATCAAAATGTTTTTATGGACATTTTCACAAATTGACATTATAAAGTATGACCCGAACTACTCCTGTTCACGTAAAAACACAACAGCAAAAGAGTTAGTTCCAGAGTTCTTAGATGACATTTTGATAGTGATGGGAAAAAGCACGGGTGTGTCAGAAAATTGCATAACCAAATATTGATCTAATGAGTATTTACATATTCTGTGTATGGGTATTGAATTTGCCACAGGTGGTGCATGACCAGTGCCCCGCCTCTGCAGGGCTAGGGATGCAAATAGTACCTCTAGAGGTATCATTTTACACTTGATCCTTTGGGTAGAGAGGAGCAGTCATCAGATCACAGCAGCTCTTTTACCATGAAAAGCTGGGTCGTCACAGACAATAACATTCAATAGGATCAGTCAACCAATCGACGCCACCATCGCTGCTACAGCTATGCCCATCGCAGATCTTTTGGGAGTCCAGTTCGACATGCAGCTGCTGTTGAAATTGAGTATTTCTGCGGCTGCAGTGCTGCTGGTGTCTTGGGCCTACAGGTTCTACAGCTCCAGGGACGCACAGAAAATTCAGCCATGTGTCAAAGACAGCAAAGAGCCGCAAAATGCAACCTGCCAAAACTGCAAGTCGACGCTACCATGTCAGCGCTCACTACAACATGACGCCGATGATGGGGGCGAGCGATCCAGACCCTTGCGCACAGACTCAGCCACTGATGACCCGACATCTGACTGCACCAAGGAAACACCGGCAGAAACCCATCCACACCAAGCTGAAAAGGATGCATTTAGTTTATCATATAGTGACCAAGATATCAGCATGGAAGGAGAGATACTCACTCATCAGACGCAGCCAGTGGTTGCCACCAGTAATATTTCATTTGGATCTGCTTTGAACCTTCCTGATCCAGCAGAGAGTGGAATGGCCTGTACAACGGGACGCCGCTCCCCTTGCTTTTTGCAGAAGCTGGAGGGCAGTGTGGGTGTGGGCAGGGAGTTGAGGCAGGACTTGGAGCGCCAGGGAGCCTACTCCAGCTTCCTCTCCAAGGCAGAGATCAAAGTGGAGGATGCTAACGTGGTGCTGGAAGGAACAGGAGACCAGATTGTGCGCGGAAAGATATATGATTACTATGTTGAGTCTTCGTCTCACTCTATTACAGACTCAAACACTGTGCCGGGTCAGTACGAGAGGAACTCTGAGCCACAGCCAGTGGAGTTTGGAAATCATGGCAGCAGGCTAACAGAATCTCCTTCCTCTCTGAGCCCCATCATTATGCGCGATCTGGTTTTACCACAAAGTACTGCTGAGGATCCCTCCTTGCTTGGAAGCCTCAAGCTGAGGCCCCCTGCAAAGCCCGCACTCCTACGCAAGGAGAGCTATCTGTCTGCAGCAGAGCAGTCTGAGCTTTCCATCCCTTTTGTAACTTCAACAGCCTCAACTCCAATGATTCACTCTCTGGCCTCAACCAGCAATGAGTCCATGTCTGTTCGCCGTATGATCAGTCCCTCTACAGAAGGCCCTAATTTGAGGGAGGGGGCTGATCTAGAGACTGTAGCAGGAGCTCTATTTTTACACCTTCCAGCAACGACTCTTGACGGCACAGATATCGAAAGCTTGAAGAGTAAGCTCGATCTGGGTAACTGTTTGGAGACGCTGTACCTGGCCAAAAAATATGGCCAGACGTCTGTGCAGCAAGCAGCCCTTGGGGTCATGTCAGACAACTACCTCCAGGTGCTCAGGGACCCCAACCTTTATGGGCGGCTAATGGCTGGCGAGCGGGAACAAATCCAGAAGCAGAGAATAAGGGGGAGAAGGTTCATCATGGTGGCAGACATGGACCCTCAAGACTGGGCAAGGAACACAGGAGTGCAGACAGCAGAAACAGAGCAGAAGAGGACATCCAGTGCAGTGTACTATTATGATGACTACAAAGACTCCTGGCATACACTCTGCCTGATCCCTCAGGAGGTCATCTCTAAAGCCTGTGCCATGTGCACAATGGATAACTACTTATTTGTGGCAGTGGGCTGCCAAGGCACAGACAGAGAAATGACACCCTCAAAGCGAGTGTTTTGCTACAATCCTCTGACATCAATTTGGAAGGAGATCAGTCCTATGAATGAAGCCAGACCCTGCTGCAAACTGGCAGCACTGGAGGGCTACATCTACGCCATCGGAGGGGAGTGCCTCTCCTCGGTGGAGCGCTACGACCCACGACTGGACAGATGGACATTTGTGGCTCCACTGCCTGATGATACATTTGCTGTGGCACATCATGTCACGGTGTGCAATGGAGAGATTTTTGTTTCCGGGGGAACTCTTAGATATATGCTGCTGCGCTACAGCCCCAAAACCGACACCTGGAGGCCAAGTCTGTTAGTAAGCAGCAAAGACAGAACGGCAGATATGACGGCTGTGGGGAGATTTCTGTATCGATTTGATGTTAACCCACTGCTGGGTGTCAGCGTATACCGCTACCATACGGTGGCCCGGCTGTGGTACGAGTGCAGCACAAAACGGCTCCTGCACTGCCCTGCCTTCCAGTGTGTCACGATGGACAACACAATTTATTGTGTCAGCCGCCAGTTCACCATGAGGTTCGAGGCTGATGAGATCTCCCCTGCTTTCACAGATGAGAATTTGAGTGTCCTCTCTGAGGCGAAGGGCATACTTTTCCCCTTTGTCCTTTCACTCCCTGATAAGAAGCCTCGGCAGACCAGTGTGTAACGAGGATTCAGTTTTCCATTGATGATAAGATTAGGTGGTGATGGAGTGTACCCTGAATCATGCTTTACGTCACGTTTCCTGTTGACTGAGTGGGTTTTGCCCCAAATGTTATTGAAAAATTGTAACCACGGTGTTGTCACTTCTTTCACCCTTTCACAAAGCTTCTGTTTCTTAAAATAATTCATTTTCTTGAACTGGGTATTTGCACAAAGAAATGTATGTTTCTTATGTCGGCCCCTGGCAGTACATGTAAAGTATTAGACGCTTAATGGTAGTCAAACTACTGTTTGCTTAGATTTACGCAGGATGTGCTGCCATGTAAATTGTTTGCTTCTTTGATTTGCCACTCTTTCCTGCCATTAAGTTAGTTTTATATCATTCCAGATGCTTAACCTCTTTAGCTGTGGTGATAATTCATAACTACGTCTCACAGTAAATGAGTGCATTCAACTCTAACACATTACATTTGGGCAATACAGTGATAATCTATCACTGTGCGCCACTGTGTAGGGCACAAATATAACTTACACAGTGGCCTGAATACGACGCAATTATCTACAGTTGCTCTTTAAACATGACAGGATGTAAATGGGTATGTCATGCAATATAAATATGTGAGCTTCCACAAGCATTCATCACAACTTTTGAAAATCTCCCAACACTTGTAGTCGCTCTCCTTTTGGTGGCCAGGAAGAAGTGTGTTTGTTTTAATCTTCACTGAGCAGATTCTTTGTTCATCGCACCACATAAATAAACAACAAAGAAATGTATGAATTTGTCATTCATTGCTTATTAATCCACAATTAGTGAATAATGAGATTAAGCCAAGTGTATATTTTTATTTTTGAAGTGTTGAGAAATTACATTAACAGTGGAAATATGCATAAGATTTATACAAATATTAAATCTCTCATTGTTTGCTCATTTATAACCGAGTCTCTCACTGTACTGTCAGTTAAAGTTCAGGACTTCAAAGACTCACTGAAAGGAGAGTCAGGAGAGTGACGTGCTGCTATAGCACCATCATGTGGCTCAGGAGGCAAACGCAGCAGTGCTCTGGGTAAGACATGTTGAGCTTTAGACTTTTCACAGCACAGAGGCGTCATGTGACACACGAGCATCAGCACAGTACAGAGTCACTACGTAGCTAACAGCGGGCTTCAGCTGCACTGGAAGGCAGCAGGCAGGCAGGCAGGAAAAAAGGGAGGCAGACGCAGATGGTTGACCATCAAACATAAGCATCTTTGATTCTTCCTAATTAAACACCTAATGGAATGGGAGTTAGACATGTCCCCTCAGACACTGCCTTGGATGACTCATGTCTTCCAGTTTGCCTCAAAACACAGGTCAGCTCTGGCATCAACGTTTGTTTTATTCTTTTTCTTTCACTCTTTCTTTTCTTTTCTTTTTCTCCACAGAGTATCGAGGGTAAAACTGACAAGCCATTCTGAGTTCCAGATATTAAGTGTGCACAGAGAGAGAGAGAGAGAGAGAGAGAGAGAGAATTTGCATGTAATTATTCTCTGGAAGGGTGGACATAATTCATAACCCCCTCCTTTCTCCTTAGTCTTGCACACAGACACACACATATTCATGTATATAAACATACTCACGACACAACACACAGTAAACCAAAGTACTCCTCACAGCAACATAATGAGAATCATGCTTAATTTTTTTTATTTCCTTTTAATTTCCCAAATGGTCTGCTCTGTTAAATTTCTTCCTGCAACCGACTAATAAAAAAAGAGGAAGCACAAAGCAGCGCCACTTTTAACGGAGTTTTCTAAATTAACAAGCAGCATGTGAGCCACGTTGTCGTCTCTAAGCCTGTTGTGATGGCGAAAATAGACTGAAAGAATGATCTGGGACTTGCAGCAGCGAGCGCCATCTCAGATCCAGGTCCTTGTTGTTGTGATTGGCTGCATGGAGGTGGCTAGAGAGCATGTGTGAAGCCCTGGCAAAGCGGCTCTGGCAGAAGGCACTAAGTGGGTGCCTCTGGTATGCTGACCTGTATACAGTCGGTGATGAGAGGTGTGACTGCTGCTTTTCCAAACGGCGCTTTGTGGTCTGCAGCAGGCCAACTGAGTTAGTTGGAAAGGCTGGAAAGGAACACAGAGGAGAGAAAGTTAACTGCCATGTTACTGCAGCCATTAATTACACTGGTGACTGATTTGGAACAATAAAAGGCATCTGAGGCCACCCAGATTAAATTGTTCATAAGCACAACTGCTGATGTGTTTTGTCCATACAAAATGAAATGTGCTGAAGTATGTTTGCTCTGCACTCAGCAGTGGTTCCTGGATGATTTAATATATTATTTCCCGTGTATAATTTGTACCTTCAGGCGGTGGTGGCATGGCACTTTAAACTGTGGTCTTACTAGAAATTGGCCGGTCGGACTTCTCAGGCTGCCATGTCAAGCTGTCTGGATGCCAGGGTCGCAGTGTGGGCAAGGCACTGGTGTGCTTACGCCCGTAGCTCTCTTCATACTGCGTGACCAAGTAATGAGAGGATGGTGGGCCATAATGGGCAAATAGCTGCTTGGATGAAAGCCCCTGGAAGACAATATGCACTAGTTTCAGCATAGCCTGTATGCATTGGCCTTCACAGGATTAAAATATAGAGGGCATGACCCATTCTTTTACAATAATCTTCAAGAGGCTCATCATGTGACAGCAGCAAATTGCTCTAACTAGCCTTTAAGTGCCCTCTAGGACTGATGATTTTACACATTTACATGACTGCTGAGTCTGACCAGAAACTTGCTTTCATAAAGAGTTTTATCACAGGCCTTTATCTTGGCCCTCAACATTATGCAGAAGTGGCCACAATCTAGAGAAGAAAGCCCTGACTTGCAGGGTTGTGACAGGCATTCAATTGGTGTTAATGCCATGAATGAGCAGTTAAAGGCTGACCTCAGCTCTCAGCAGGGCAGATCCTCTCTCAGAGACGTCTGGCTCGAAGTCCCAGTGGGGCCGGTAGTCTACACGATTGGTGCTGTTGGCTGTCTTTGGCTCCCGAGTGAACTGTGTCGGACAGAGTAAACAGACATTGCAAAGAGGAGTGAGGAGGGGGGGAATATACAGGGACCTGAGCAATGAGCCCAGCGCAAGGATCAGCAAGGCTCACACTTCACTATCGATCCGCACTGTTGTACAGTATTTCTTAAGTCATTTCTCCTCCTGATCCTGAACCAGCAGCCCATGGCGGAACCTTACGTCAATGCAATTAGTCTCCAGCTTCAGCCTCTCCCACCAGGAGGCTGTGCTGATGTAGCTGAACGGAGGCTGCCTAATCACTTTGCTATAGATTTGACTACCAACTGAGGTGTTACAAAACCTTTGGCAGGCTGCCATTGGTGTGGCATTATGTTTCTGATCTGCAGCATGAAAAGGCACTGATACTCTGTGTTCTAACTTTCAATTGAAGTTGTACGCTTAAATCAGAACATCTTATTTTGATACTGTCGCCATAAAACAGTCTGTCCCCTATTCACGACCCACTGTCTTGTGATATTGTTGTACAGTGGATAAAAAGTAAAATGGACAATAAGCACACAAAATGCCTACCTGAAGTCTGTCCTCTGCCCAGTTGCCTAAAAGCACTTTGTTTCCATATTTCTTCTCTATCCTCCATCCGGTTTGAGCCCATTTATCCTGCAGCAGCCCCGTTTGGTTCATACTTCACCTGGTGTCAAACACACCTAACCAGGGAAATCTGAAGCCCTGTTAGAACACAGTTACCTCGTCAAACACATAGCGTGTAGGTGCATTCACCTGGCCCCACAATGGCTTAGGCAGTGGAGGGGAAATAGAAGAGCTCTGTTTCCATGGATACAGCAAACACTGAAAGGAAAGGCAAGCAGAGGATCCTGGAAGCAAATGGGAGATGTCTTACATCTGTGCTCAAAAGAAATACATTCCTTAAGGCTAGGGCATGACATTTACCTCTTAGCAGTATACTCTATATTGTTAAAATAGTGCCAGAAATTGTTTCCAGACTTTGTCTTAGGGCTACTTTTCATTTTTGAAAAAAAAAAAAAAACGGGTTTTGTTTATTGATTTTTTAGGATTTTTTTGTCTTGTGTGAACAGTACACTTTTAATGAAGAAGAACACTCTGCCACTGGAGGGCAAGTTTTGTTTATTAAAATGTAAGACACGATAGAAGTACAATCATGATGCTATTTATTGTCTTCACAGTGTTTTCACATAGTTAACAACGCTATCCACAGCCTGTAGTGCAGAGGGAAATGTGAGCCAGCCTTGGTTAAAAAAGTTCATCATGCCGTGAAAACCATCTGTCACGTGTTGCCAAGTGACATCTTTTTTCAGGTCCAGCAACCGTTTCTTGTAAAGTATCCCATCGTCCCTCAGGACATCATACTCACATGTGAGAATGAAGGCGGGCGGGGTTTTCTGAATGACCGAATCATCTGCCAGTAAAGGTGAGACCTCAGGTTCCAAACCAGCTTTGATTGTGTGGTACACCTCCCCATCATATTCTGGGGCTGGGTGCTCACAGAAGCCCCGTGCGAGGCACTCGGGAGGCAAGTTGGACGGGGAGAGCCACGTCTCGTAGCGTGGCCTGAGCTCAGTGGGGACATGGTTGCCTTCCAGCACGTCTTGGCACACAGACATGTCCCCATTGAGGTACTGCAGGAAATAGAACGCCATCCGGCCACGAAACAATATGGGCACAGCATGATTTTGCTGGTATGAGGGCAGGTTGAAATCTGCCATCTGCAGGGCTGGGTAGATGAGGACCTGAGCGCAGGGGAATGGCAGATGTCCGTCCTCTCTCCTCGCCAGCCTTTGGCACAGTGCTGCTGCCAGGTTAGCCCCAGTGCTGTCCCCTCCGACTGCCACTCTGCGAGAGTCCACGCTGAACTCTGCCTCAGCAACAGACAGGAAGTGACACGTCGCTGTCTCACAATCGTCCAGCTGGACAGGGTACCTGTGCTCAGGGGCTAATCGGTACCTAAGAGGGGTGAGATGGAAGACGCGGGGGGGGGGGACGACAATATGTTCAATTTTGGCGATGTGGTTGACAAAATACACTAGGTCTTGGATATTTCTGTGCATTGTGGAAAAGTTTGCGTACCCAACAGAAACAACAGTGGTGTCAGACTCCATGGCGATGTGCCGACAGACTTCATCAACAGAATCTGCTCAGTATTAGCAGGACATCAGGATATCACAGTTAACAATGTTAAGGTCTTGTTGAGGCAACCGCAACAGAATTATCACAGACAGAACATGACAATTTGTATTACTCTTTCTACCTACACTGATCTCCTTTTTGGTATTCAGACAGCATATTATATAAGAAATTCACGGATTCAATAAACATTAACTTATATTTAGAGATGGAAAGTACATTTAAGTAGAATTTGGTAGTTCATTTCCAAAGTAAAACATTGTATTTTTACTTGTTGCTTGGGTGGCTTGTAGTTACTGGTTACTTTTCAGATGGATACTTAACATTCAAAAATATTCAAAATGATGTTATGAGTTGTTAAAGCTCAAACTGCTCAACAGCATATAAATTAGCCAGACTTGAACACCACCTGGACACAATACAGCCTGATATCAAAATATAGTGTAGTAATAGGAACAAAAATAAACCACAAGTGTTTGTGTTACTTGCCACACACTTAACCCATTTCTCTTTTTGAAAGAAAAAATGTTAATACACCAGTAATTTTAAGGCCCAATCTGTGATGCAAAAGGCTGGACCACCTGTCCACCACCAAAATTTACCCACAGAGGACTAACTTTCTATTTTCCCCAAAATTGACTGATGGGTCCTTTAATAGAAGACATAGCACAACATAACAACTGAACAAAAGTTATTAATGTTTCCTGATGCTATAAAAGGTTGTTTGCATCACTAAAGGTAAGCAATACAGCAGGAAAACAGGTCTACATGTTCAAATAATTACTCATTGAAGCTTTGAATGCAGGACATTAAAATGTAATTGGATATTATGCTTTTATTTTAATTTAAATGATGTGAACTTTGTGTACCTATACTGCCCAGCACCCATCCTCCTCCATGGAAATACACCAGAGCTCTTCTCAAGCCTTCACAAACAGCGGTGGGTTCATAGACTCGCACTGGCACCTCAGAAAACGTCAGGTCCTTCACTCGCAGATCCGCGGGAACTGGATTTAAGCAAGTCAGGAAACAGGCCATGAACCATCGGATAAAGCTGACTTGGTGACAAATGCCCAGACGATGCAGGATCCGGCCCTGTAAGGAGAGGAATTGCTGACTTACCTCAAGTGGTAGACAATGTTAAAGTAAAAGTTATTCTCTCAGAGAAACCATGTTTACTATGACAACATCAAAGTAAGGGAACACACGACCTTGCCTTTCTTGCATCTTTGTTAGACTTGATTTCTTATCTAAAGTTTCTCTGATCTAAGCTTTATCAGCTGCTGGAGGACAAAGAAAGGACAGCCATCTTTGACAAAGCACTAGAAGAGTATAGTTTTTTTTTTAATCTTTCACTAGCAGGGGCATTTTCCTTTACACTAAGAAATAAAATAATTATTTAAGTTAAAAAAAAACATTCAGGAAACATAAAATAATAAGCACTAACAAATCCATAGATAATGTAGTTACTCACCACAATTGCCATGCCAACAAACAAGCCATGAACCATGTGCAGTTTCCCACTATTTGCAACCCCACGAGGAATGTCTGAATTCATCAGCTCAGAGTACACAAGTCCAATTACCAGAAGGAGGAAGGCTGCTACAAGAGCAGCAAAGCCAATTATTAAAATTGCCCAGCCGATGTCCATGGTGTTGCTGGTCTGCTCCGCTGAAGGTAAGTCATTAAGAGTAAATGTTTTATCTACCTGCTTTCAGCCTCTTTCCACCCCTCCCACATCCGCATGCAATGTATTCTGACCTTGGTTTCACTTAATGACATGTTTGGCTGCCTGTTGCCCTAGAAAATAATTATATTCCTCAACATATTTTATGGTTGTGTAGTCAAAAGTAATTACATGTTTCCCAAAGAAACCAAGTTGTTTCACTGCAGAAAATTGCACAAAATATTTTTATGTTAATGGAGCAGTACAATTACTCGTACGTTTCCATAGTACCCATTAAGTTGCCTTTCAAAGCCGAGCATTTTTTTTTTTTCACAAATATCTGAAGGATGTTGTGCTTTTTTTTTTTTTTTTCCTGCTTCATTTCTTGCCCCTGGCATTGAGGAAAGCTGTGCTGCGTACAGCTGCATTCTGCACAGTGGCATTCTCATTGTCTGGTGTCTGAGGAAAGAAGATATTGAGAGATGCTGCCAGTGAAGGCTGACTGAGAACAGCCTTATCTGAACTTTCAATGCTGATCTGTAGATGGCAGTGATAGCATGAGTATAAATAAACAGCGCCTCCTGGAATATACTCTATTTACATTTTTGCATTCTGCATGCAACCTCAACCTATTTGCAACTCACTGCAATGTATGTCTTTAGACTTTTGTCTTGTTTTTACAGATCCACTAATTTATATTTAATTTCACTTCAGCTGGAAATACTTTGCAATAAACTGCCAGACTTTGGGTTCACATTTTGTAAATCTCAGAAATTTCCAAAATAAAGGCAGCATCTGGAGTCATGCTGTCTTGGAGTTTTTAGCAGCCCCCGAGAGCCTCTCTGCCTTCCCTAAGTAGCTGAGCCCAGCACAAAGCAACCATTGTGAGGCTGCTCTTTAAACCCTTCCCAGTTGCTGAAAAAGTCCTGCATTCAGCGATACCCAGTAAAAATCACAGTGCCAGGGCCAAAAATCACAGACTGGAATCTTGTCTGAGGCCCATGAATTCGCAGGATTTGTTTAGGAGGCATTCATGCAGTTTTCTGTTTGTCACCCTGACAAGCTTCTGAGACTGTGCTGACCTATTTCCCAAATTGCACAGAAAGATACAGCCTGCTTCAAAAAAAATACTGTTAACACAACAAATTGGGTTCAAACAACTGATGTCGCTTTGCACATATGAGGCGACTACAAATGCAGGGACACACATCAGCAAATCAGCAAAAAACAGTTCAGGGTGACAGAAACTCTGTGCTTGTAACACTGGATGCAACATCATGTGAGCTTGCATATGCCACAGTGGGGCACCTAGACTTGACTTTTATGCCGCATTACGAGGCCACAGATTTGTTTGCAGGCTTTTCAGCATCAGAGAATTGACTCTGGGAAACAAGACAAGAGAGTAACTGGCTCAAGGACACATCAGCAGATGTACTTGTCATTATGAGGTTTGAGCCCAGATTGCCTAATAATCACTTCACTGTGGTGTCTGTTGTGGTTACAATTGTCACAATTGTTTCTCATTTGTGTGTTTGTTTAGTGCTTTGCTGATTTTTTGTTTGCTTATTTGCTTTACTTAATTAATTGTGTGTGTGTGTGTGTGTGTGGGGGTCTAAGGATTAGTTGAGCAGGGCTCTCCCCCATCTGAAGCTCTTACGTAAGAATATTTTTGTTATTGATTTCACACTGACTTATAACTGTCAGTGAAACCTGTGATTGCAACATCGTTGTTATGTGTTATGTTATGTTATGTAACGAGGTTAAGTTCAAGTCAATGAAATTATGCAGTTAAACCCCCCCACCCCCCCCACCCCACCCCCCCCCAAAAAAAAAAATTAGAAAGAAATGGGGCACACACCTGGGACACAGTGGGGCGACCACTGGGGGGCCCCGGACCACAGATTGAGAACCAGCGCTGCTGTAGACACATGAAGGGGGTGGGGAAGAGGCAAGTACGCAAGCACTCAGGGCAAGACGGGCACTGGAGCAAAAATATTCATCCCCACTTAACATGTCAATCAGGATTAATGCCCTTCCAAACCTCCCCTTTAGGTTCATCCAGGTCCTTTCACTAGTGGAAGCAGCGAAGCCAGGGCAGAGGCGGTGATATATAAGGCAGGACAGGACAGTGCAGGAACACAACACCAAAGCCCTGCGCTTTTAGTAGCGCACACCGCGGAGCGTCGCCTGGACTTGTGTTTCACGTTTCTGCGTCTCTACCAGTGGTTGACAGACGTAATGACTGATCACTCACACACTTCGAGATCCTGATGCATGTCGACTTAACATGTCAGAGCTCCTTGAGGTCACACACTTCAGCTTTTTCTCATATTTTTGCGGCTGTGGATTACTCATACAACACTTTGTGAGGCTGCAGATGATATTGTTTGCACGCGGATAAACTTGCAGGAGCTCACAAGTCCCGTGTTTGTGAACCGCTTTCACTGTGGGAGGATAAATCTGCAGTGCACGTAAACTTGCAGCGTAAACATTGTACTTGTCGGCAGCCTGTGAGCACTTTCCGAGATGGAGCTGAAGAGCGCGTGTCGTATGTTTCTTTTCCCGGTCCAAATGTTCTATTATATAGTCAGAGCAAGTTTGTTTTCGCTGTTGCCGAGCAGAAGGAAGGACCTGACCAAGGAGGTGGTATTGATCACCGGTGGGGGACGCGGCATCGGACGTCATCTAGCCAAAGAATTTGCCAAGCAGGGAGCCAGAAAGGTAATTTCATTTCACTACAGACCACTTGTTGCACCCACTTTGTCACTACCACGCTTTCAAAAGAGGTGCATTAACAAATCATTGAAGTCATTTTGGCAAGGCATGCTTTTTTTTTGCCATGGGTTTAGTTTGTGTCAAAGCCAGCAGCAGTAGTGGAGAAGCCTGGATCCCCCTGCTCCTCCAGCTGCAGGTAACCCGGTCTGTGCTGCACACCTTGCCCCGAGTGTGGTGTTGTTCTCATGTTCCGTGGAGGCACTGGTCGTGACCTCGGAGTTGCCTAGTTGGTCCAGTGAGACTGGAGGCACAGCCCTCAATTTTGGGTCAAGTATTGCACAACAGCATGGGTCAACCAGAGGGCAGGTCTGGGTGGCTCTTATGGCTGATAAAGCGCAGCACTGATCTGACATTTATTTTGCCAGGGTCTGCAGTGATTCTGGTATGACTGATGTCTACAAAGTGTGTGTGATACAAAGATTTAGGCTGAAGGCACTGACTCTGTGTGCCTGTATGTGTGAGCTGGGGGAGTGGGGGGTTGTGGTGGGGGATTGGGGGGGGCAGTTGCTCTGTGCACAAAGCTGCACTGAAACAGCTTCAAAGCTATTCACAGAACAGCCATGCTATTACCCCATTATAGTTTCTTGCCATTTTTTTTTTTGCAGTCTTGTCGTAAAATCTGCCAACATATCACAATGCAACAAAAGGCTCCATGATGCTTTTTAATAAAAGCCAGATTAGGTTTTGTTTTCAAGCATAGCATGAGGACATGAGATGCCTTTTATGGAGTGTATGCAAAAACAAAGTGAACCCAACAAAAAAGAGTTGAGGAGGAACAGATTGCCTTATCTTGGATTGGTCTAATACGAAGGTGGCAGCTCTAAACCTCTTACAGAAACTGAAGTTGATGTACTCAGATGACACATTCTTATGAGGTAATGGGTCAAAATAGGTCAGAAATTTGATGACAAGTCATTTTTACTATGACTGAAGTTATGATGCATCATGATTTTTTTCCCCCTCCAGCTGGACCTTAAGATGAATTTTACATGCTGTTGCTCATGTTTTGATAACACGGGGGAGTCAAAAGTAATCTGATTACACCACAGACATAGACCAATCATTCATGTTTGCAAATCTTTGAATTCCAAATCCATATAATAAGTGATGTATTTAGTCTTTCCTAGTGGATAGGGAGAAGACCCCCACCCTCCACCCAACCACCCTAACAAGGAGTCGTCACTTGGGCCTGCAATGCTTCAGTGGCTACATAGACAAGCTCCTCATCACTGCAGGCCAGGCGAATCTCTGTTCCTATCATCATCTTCAGCTACAGTTTGTCCACCCATCCATTGGGTAAAACGTTACACAGCTGAGTGCCTGATGAGCTACCGGCGTCCCTCTAGCAGCAACATGTTAATACGGAGCAGCTCTATTTTTGATCACCTCAGATGGGAGTCATCATTACAGATGGAAGAAAATGGTAGTAATTTCCCCGATAGAAAGCACTGAGTCACCCAGCTGAAAGCTGCGGGTTGTAATTATCTGTACATGTGTGACATGCGCTTCGCATTTTTGGATGCTCTCTTAAGGCGCAATTTTAGCAGCTTGAAAACATTGCTAAAAGCTCAATGAAACACTAACTGCCTCCCTCTGTCTTTCAATGCCATCTCCTCGGGGGAATGAGCAAGAAGAAACCAGTGGGTTTTAAAAGCTTTACTTTGCAGCTGCACAACAAAGGATGTCACCATGCTTTTCAGCACCCCATTGTTGGGTATTATCAAGGTGTGAAGGCTTTGAAAACAACACCTGTGGTAATGTGTATGACAATTACTCCCTGCCTAAAGAGATGCTAAAAGGAAATAGGACGGTAATTATGAATAGGGCTAACCTCTATGAACTTATGCTCTCCCCAGTTTGAGCCCCTTTGTGATTGGCAGCCGGAATTTCCTTTTCCCTCTGCTTGGGCTTTTGGTGTTTTCACGGTGTGAGGAAGACTAACTACAGCATTGATAAAAGAATTTGGCGAGATGGAGAGCCGGGGACTCAGGAGGGGAGCCAGGTCTTCTTGTGTGCTGTTAGGGGGGGAACCGTTGCAGAACAAAGCTCTGAAACAATAAACCTGAATCAAAGTATTTCCAAACACGGCATCCAAGTTCAGAGCAGTGCGAAAGGGCTTTCACAACAATCCCCAGTAAATAGACAACTTAAAACAGCATATTTCTTCAAAGCTCCTTTTCCAAGTATTTTTCTGCACCATAACAGCAACTCCAGAAAACAAGGATTTCTATGTGGTTGTTAACATTACACTGCGAGGAAGGTGAACCAATCGCAGACACTGACAACAGGTTTGTGTGTGTGTTGTGGTGGAGGCGGGAAGCACACTGCTCCCAGCTGGGTATTGCCCTGCAGCTGACCTTGCTGTCTCCGCAGTAATTAGACAGCGGCAGGCGACTGCCTCCTGAACTCCTGCTGCCCCCTCTGTGTGCTGCCTCTCCGCTGGCCCTTACAATGGGTGTGAAAAGGAGGGTTCGTACCCACCCATACATTCAGGCCTGAGAGATAGAGTATCACTGTAATTCAGCTGGAGCTACTGGGGACACGGAGACGTACACCTCAGCCAGTATTGAGTGGCATCTGCTCTCTCTCTCTTTCTCTCTCTATCTTTCAAGGTCTTGTTTCAAGCTTTGCAACATTAATTTGTTGATCAGAGGGCTTTTACTTACAACATGTGTTGACGTCAAGTCTTGTTAGGCATGCCTAGTTAGAACAATCACTGGTTTATCACTGAAAGCGAAGGGGGGCTTGTGCAAGGTCAATTAAAAACAGTTTTCTTACCGTTTCTATCCACATAGCAATTTGGCCAGTGCTTGTTTGTTCTGAGGGTCTTGTGTGTTGTGACGGGTGATAAACCTAATGAATTGAATAACATTTTAACAGGAGAGCACAGTTTGAGTGCTGACTTTTAATGAGAGCTGTCAGCTTTGTTTGTAAGGCTCAAATCCTATTAAAAGCTTTCAGTTATTTATCAAGACCTGTCTGCCTTCACTGATTACTTAAATGGGCTTGCAAATGAAGCAAACAAAAACGAAAAACCCAATCACAAGCAACTCAAACAAGGACCATTCACAGTGGAAGCCAAATACTTATTGCTCCAGATCTGATAAAGAAATAAAGAACACATTCCAGTCTGTAATCTTTGATGTCCCTTGAGCTTAACAGTGTCAATATTTCTGTATTTGGTTTGCTTCTGCCACTATTGCCATTGGATACTTATTGAGCCACGAAAACTGCCTTAGAACCAATAGCAGCACAGTAATGTGTTACTTTTTAAGGAATTGTGGCTATGCAAATGAACGTACTGTATTTGCCAGCATTTTATGTTTGGCCTTAGACAAATGCTGAGTACATTTTAAAAGATGGGCAAATGTCCTGTTAGTGCAAGTTGATGGTTCAATTTGTGCAAAAAACACAATGTGTGATCATTTGTTGCGATGGATCCCTTGAATGGGAAACATGCTAAAGCCCTACATGCTTGCTGAAGGTACTGCTATGAAGAGTGTCAGCCATTGTAAGGGCTGGGGTTATATATCATCCAAAGGGTAGAAAAGCATAGTACAGTATGCTACATGATCATATGTACTTTTCATGTCAAGACTAATATATCACTGTAAATCCATCCTGCCCATTGACTGGCTTCATGGTTACACATAAACATTGGTATTAAAACAATGGGAATGACTCTGATGATCCACTGGCTAACAGACAGACATGCCTTCTTTTGTGTGTGTGTGTCTGTGTCTGTGTGTGTGTGTGTGTGTGTGTGTGTGTGTTTGTGTGTGTGTGTGTGTGTGTGTGTGTGTGTCTGTGTGTGTGTGTGTGTGTGTGTGTGTGTGTGTGTTGTATGCATGCGCTCATGCAGCCTCTCTGTCTCTCAGATACACAAGATCACTTTCCAGAGGACTTTTTGCTCAAATATTAACCTTGGTCACGGGCGACCGGCCAAATCCCACACTGGCGTCCTCAGCACTTCACACACGCACTGTTTTCAGACTCCCTGACCAGAAATGACGGGGCTCATCTGCCCAACAGGCCGTGTAATCTCTTTGAGAATTTGTGTTTGAGAGATGAGGAGGGCTCACCCCCTGATTTCATTACCTTTCCCTGACCCCAGAGACTGACAGATCTAATTGCCCAATCACTAGCCCCACCTCCCCACCCGCCCCTCCATCCCTCCCGTCCAACCCCATGTTCCCTGCTCAAATGACCAGCCTTCATTTAGTCTCCGGGTGGATGAAGAGACAATTCATTCACACAGCAACCCCCCAAGCCTTTAATCTTGCTCGAAAACTATTTGTTGGAGTGAAAATGGCCTCTCTGTTCTCTGAATGAAAAGAGCATTGCTGTGCAAAGATCTCCAGGTCTCATTGCCAGAAAAATTACACAAAACACACGTAATGTTTTGTTGATGACTGACTGTAAAAAAACAAAAAAACCCAACTCTTTTTGTTCCATTTATAAGCAACAGTTTACCTCATTCTGCTTCTGAGCTCGTTACAGATTCAATTCAGAATATTCTCTGTTTCTTTCTAACCTGTGGAAATGTTATTTTTGTGCTAGGTGATCTTGTGGGGCCGGACCGAAAAGTGCCTCAAAGAAACAGCTGAAGAGATCTCTCTCTCAGGAACAGAGTGCCATTACTTCCTGTGCGATGTGGCCAATCGGGAGGAAGTTTACAAGCAAGCCAAGGTGGTTAGAGAAAAGGTACACCAGCTTAATATCTATAAAGATATTTTCGACTTGAACAAAGACAAATGTCTTTTACACACAGTGAAACACATCATAAAATATCTCCCTGGGATGCCTCTCTGTCTCCTCTCTATGTATATTGGCTCTGAGCTGCTCTGTCTCCCATCTGGTGTATAGATTACACTTCATCTGAAATATCTGACTAAGAGCGGGGAATATTGCTGACAGCTCTGGTGCAGCGCAACTGTATCATCTCATGAAAGCAGACAGAAAATGCACAAGACATCTGACAGAGTTCTTTTTTTCCTCTCCTGATTGTTTATCCTTTTTTAATCTCAGGTGGGAGATGTTACGATATTAGTGAACAACGCAGCTGTAGTCCACGGCAAAAGTCTGATGGACAGCGACGACGACGCCCTTCTGAAATCTCAACATATCAACACCATGGGACAGTTCTGGGTAAGACTTTCAGAAATGTAGAGCAGAGCCAGTTCACATGCAGATGTAGGGGAATTCCTCCTTGCAGATTATCCTCACCATTTTCATATTTTGATTATAGCATGACAGTATATATAGTAGGCAACCCCGGACTTGTCAGTCAAGACTGCTATTATGGCAGGTTAAGTAGGGTATTTCCAAATTGCCTCTCTGCCCCTGAAACATCAGAGGGGTTTTGAAATTCATGGCATTTTTTATTTTGAATGGAGATCAAAAGACTATGTTATAAGCAGGCAGAAATGCAATTATCAACTAAATGGAAATGGAAATTTAATCTGTGGTTACAGTGTGGGCCTGTTTATCTTGTCTGCTCTTCTTTTTTTTTACTCTATTGAATGTATTCCACCCTCTTTTACCACTCCTCCTTCCACCTTGTCTTTACTCTCCCCTTTATTCTCCGATTTTTTTTTCTTCCCTCATCTTAGACAACAAAAGCTTTCCTGCCTCGAATGCTGGAGCTGCAGCACGGCCATGTAGTATGCATAAACTCCATCCTGTCCCAGTCTCCCATCCCTGGGGCCATAGATTACTGCACCTCCAAGGCGTCATCGCTGGCCTTCATGGAAAGCCTGACACTGGGCCTGCTGGACTGTCCTGGCGTCGGCTGCACCACAGTGCTTCCCTTCCACACTAATACAGAGATGTTCCAGGGCATGAGAGTCAGGTGAGAATGAACGTAGTAGTGGGAATTTAAAGATGTTATGGGCAATCGATTTTTTTCTCTTAGCCTTGTTAGCGGCATGGTTCTAGGTTTAATATTTGTCCGATTGTCAGCCAGTTCACCACTGCTTCAGACTGAAATATCGCTGACTGTTGCGTTGGTTGCTGTAATCTACACATTCATGGTCCCTACAGGATGAATCCTACTGACTTAGAGCATCCTCTGGCTTTTCCTCTAGCCACATGGTTGACGTTTGTGTTTCAGAGTGAAATATCTTGACGACTATTGGATGGATTGCAGTGAAATATGTTGCAGATATTCAAGGTTGCAGCAGGATAAATTAGTTAGATGATTCTCTGACTTTTCATCTAGACATAATCACAAATAGCTTGACGTCTACTGGAAGAATTGGCGTCCCCTGATTTTGCCTCTGAAATGAGCTACACCCTAGCAGATCACAGTAAAATAAAAGACTGTCACAAAGCTGGGAACCTCCAAAGTGTGAGTTCATGACTTTGCGCAACCCTCCAGCTCTTTGCAGATTCTCTCCCATGATATTATTGTGACTAAGAATGTTCTTGCTGAACTTGCCCTTAATCAAAAGGTTTAAAACGGTAGTCAAAATAGTAGCTCATCAAAGACCTAAAAAAAGGAACACATGTGATCAACACAGCATCAAGTTGTTCATTCATTTATCGTCAGTCTGTCTGCCCCCTAGTGGCTGTATTGGGCCTTCATTGATAAAACTGAAACTTGATGTTTTGGACCTTTCCAGTACTGCTGAACTGTCTAAGGTGTTTAGCATCTATGACACAATGTGCTCTTGTATACGTGTATGAGTACACTCAACCTTTCACATTGTTATGTAATAGCTTGTGGAAATGTGCAATTTGGCAGCTTATCTGCTGTGTAATTCGTTCACTCTGCTGCCATAAAAAGCACATATAGCTAGCTGCAGCAGGCTTTGTTTGCACTTGGTATTTCGAATGAAAAGGGCTTGTGATGAGAAGTGGATACAACGTGAAAATGCATTCTTGATTTAATCGGAATGACCATCACCTTTTCTCCTGTAGGTTTCCCCAGCTCTTTCCTCCTCTCAAACCTGAGGTAGTGGCCCAGAGAACTGTGGATGCAGTCAGAGCTGACAAGGCCTTCCTCTACCTGCCATGGACTATGCACGCCCTGGTCATTCTAAAAAGGTAAACAGTTCACTCTTTTTTTTTTCTTTTTTGGTTTTTATTTTGGTCTTGTTTTCAGCACCATAAATTATACCTCACACTTAACATTCCATCCTTGGTCTTTATGTACTTTTTTTTAGCTTCATGCCACAAGTTGCACTTGAAGAAATCCACAAGTTTTCTGGGAGTTATACCTGCATGAACACGTTCAAAGGGAGGACATGAACCTGGATTTCACAGAATGTGAGAGCGACCTCAACATCTCTGGGGTATGATGAAGGGAATATGGACCTTAAGACATCTGCAAGTGGAGGAGGCCCCATGATAGTGTGAAGAAAAATACTTAGGGGACATTCACGAGGGGGAGAGTTGCCTCTGCAGGTAGAATTAATTGATAAGCTGCAGGATACACCCTGGTCCCATTTGTATGTGTGAGTGCGTATCTGTATAGTATGGAGGACTGAATGCCATTCTCACATTGAACAGAAGCCATGCATAGGTCTGTAGTTATTCTGGGAGTTTTTTTTGTGACACTTTTAGTCTGTTTTTACACTTCTTTTTTTTTTTTATCCGCCTTTTAATGTGTCTTTGAATCAAAACAAGGTAATAAAATGGAGTTTTAGAGACACTGTGTTTCTTTGTGCATGACGAAAATAGAAAAAGTGAACGCTTGGGAGGTACGCATTGTTTTGTGTTTGGGTTTTGACTCCCATGGCAGTGTGATAACACCTTTGATTTATTCCAAGCATGAGATCAGTGACTGTGACAGACGATGTTGTCAAAACATAGAACACATGCTTGGGGGGGGGGGGCATGTGTATTCTTGTTTGTTCTCTCCTGTCAGAAAATGGTGCAGGGGGATGGTGTAATTCTCCATAAACATAATGAACTCAAAATAAGTTGGTCAGGACCTCCTCACATCCAGAGTGATCCAACCCCCATCCAGTGGACACGGACAGGCAGAGACTGTTGTATTTACCGAGCCCTGGAAAGACAGGAGTCATCAAGACCTTGATTATGAAACTTAAGAGTAAACTATGAGAAAAGCAAGCTATTCTATGTCTCTGTTATGAAGATAATATATCAAATTTGGTTTTGTCAGCTTGGCTCATACAATCTTATTCTTCTAATGTCTGCAACTGCTACACATTTGAGGTAGTGGATCACATAAATGTGATTTGCATTAGCGAAACCCCAGAGGCGTATTCAAGAAGAAAAAAAAAGGAGACAATATGGAGCCTCTTTCGCCTTATTGCATATGAATATGAGCGTGTTCCAAGGCTTTAGCTCAAAACAGAGGAAAAGAACTGTGGAAACTCAGAGTGGATGAGATTTATCAACGCCAGACTCACAATTACCTTTTGATTGAGGATATTATTTAGAAAAAGCGTGTCATGAAACCGGGAAGAGCCAAGCTTAGTAGATGACTTACCAAAGATTGTCAAAGCAAAAAATAAAATATAAAGTGAAATTAAACAATGGTCTGTACCCATGACAAATTCAACACTGTCATCTCATGTTAGCTGAATGAAAGCCTGTACCTGTAATCAACAACAGAACCGCTGTATACTAAATGAATAGCTTGGGGAAAATGCGCTTATTAGCTTCCTCGCTGAGAGTTGGAAGAGGATATTAATACCAACCTCACGTCTCTGCAGTAAATATGGTGCTACTACCAGCAGCCAATTAGCTTAGCTTAGCATAAAGACTTGAAAGCAGGGGGAAACAGCTTAGCCTGGTTTTGTCCAAACATAACAAAAGTTTTCCTTACCTTTAGAGATACTGAGAATGCTATTGATCTCTCAGCAAAATAGGCTGAAGTAAGTGCATTTCCCAAAATATTGATTTCTCCCTCTGAGTGAAATATGCTTGTGGACACAGCAGCACCTTGCGCACTTAACTGTGTCCGTGGCATAGACCTAAAGGTAGCTGTGTCTTTCCACTGTTCTCATATTATTTTAGTATAGATCTAACAATTTAGATGTGTAGACTGTTAAATTGAGAAACACACAAAAATAACTGTGTGCATGTTTACTTGATATTGCTGATTAATAATGGTTAATGGGGGGAAACTCACTTCTGAGCCAAGAGCATTTTTACAGCTGTTTACCACCATGCATGTAGTCAGTACCTCACCCCAAAAAGTGCATGGGCATTTGCTCCTCAGAATTCCTGTGGAATCAGATCAAATTTTTAAAGGTTATTGTATTAATCAGTGTTGCTAAACTTGGAACAGGTCAGTGCCTTTCCTACCTTAGGGTAATGGTGTCGGTACTTAATTGTGGCATCTTGCTATAGTGTGGTGTGTTTGTTCTTGTTTGTCAAGGAGTACTCGCAATATTTTCTTTCTTTTTTCTTTTTTTTTTGCCTAGTATGGAACCTGAGTTACACAACAAGACAGATTAGTCATTAAGTGACTGAATGATCAGTACCCAAAGCTGTCTCAATAAGAAGCTGCTGACCTTGCAGTTATGTGTGTGACACCTACAATTTCGAGATTAGTCAGCTGTCCACCACATGAGGGCCACAAATAAAGATGAGAAAAAACCTTAAATGGAAAAATGAAAAGTTCAGGTTATACGGCTCTACAAGAACACACAGGGGATCATGAGCTGCAATAAAATAGCTAATAGGGTTGAGGAGGCTTTGTGCTGCTTTTCACATCACCGATGGCAGACAGTGAATCTCAAGCCATTAATGTTTAAATCTGACCACCATGAGGTTTATCACTGTGAAAGAGAGGGCTGTAGTAAAAATGAAAATACCACACTCGGCTGCTCTTTTCTCAACCTCGCGCGGAGATTGTGTTGGAGGCTTTTTTGTTTTTTTTTAACAAACTAAACCTCTTTATGACGTCTAGACTGTCCATCTTTGAATTAGGAAAACATACAGATACAAATCAACTCCAACAGTGGCTGGACTTGAAAAACAGTAGAAGGCTTTTTCAAATGAAACAATAGCGATGCATCTTTTTGAGCTGCCACCGCCTTGTTACTGCTCTGTGTGATCACATGGTAAGATGATCATCTGTCTGTACTAAAAGTCTCAGCACCCTTTTTTTACACCACATAAAATGGCAGCTAATGTTATTTGACAAAAAAAGTGCTCTGCTTTCTCACACGAAATAGATAGTCTGGTTAAAATGTTGACTTGCCACAACAGAAAACAGGCCACAGTAATTTCACTCTTTTTGTTTGCCTACTTAGATATTCTGATTGTTCCTCCCTCAGAATGTAACCAGTATATTTAGATCAGAGCAAAGAGCAAGATTCAGTAAAAAATGCAACCCAGCGCAAAGTTTCCGTCCTTGCTGTGAGGTTAATCATGAACCCAGTACTCTCAATATGGTCTAGAATATGTGCAGCAATAGATGCAGATACAGATATGCTAAAAGATTATGAAACCAGCTCACACTGAAGAGTCAATAAGTAAAATGTGACTGTCAACTTCAAAGACAAGTCAAATCTACTGTATGTGGTCTTCGGATTTTGTGAAACAAAGACACACAGAATTTTACCCTCGCTGCCTTGAGAGAACTACTTCAACCTCTAGTAACAAACACATGAAGGAATATAGAGATGACAGATCCAGACAGAGAGAGAGAGACAGAGAGACAACCCACATCTCAGTCAAAGCAAGCACACACAAACCAAAGGCGAACCCATGAGAGTGGCCGTAAAAGCTCGGGTAGTGCCTGCCCTTTGGCTGCCAGACAAGGCTCATAAACATTCATTTGAATCTCAGCGAACCATAAATGCCCTCCTGTGCACTCACGATAGGGCCGCACATTGTGATCAGTAGGTGACCCGCACTGGGTGGGGAGGGGTACGAGCTCTGCTGAGAGAGTTAACCCGAGCCTCCTTCAAGGGCCTGTTTCTCATTCTCTGAGTGGGCTGTTGCGAAAGCAGAGGGAGAAGAAGCATGTTGGGATGGAACTAGGTCGAGGAGGCATGTAGTGCACGTATGCTCCAAGAGGAGGGCTAAAATGGTTGGAAATCTCATGGGGCAGGTTCAGAGCAAGGTTAGCCAAATACTGAATAAATCAAAGGGGGCTTGGAAAGCCTGCTCCGCGCTGAAGGCGCTCAGTTCCAGGGTGACTGACCAGGCGCAGGTGGAAACAGAGGACTTAAGGTTTGGTCACATGGGGAGAAATCGGAGAGTGTAGCTGTCTCAGCTGTGACCACATTCCCAGTTGTCTGTGCTGCACATATTATAGTCTTAAAATGTGTTACTAGAAGTCAACAAGCATTTTTTTTTTCTATCAGTGTGGCTCATTTGAAAAGACCTTTGATTTCATCTTTGATACCGACCACAAATATGTTTATTCAAGTTTATCTTAGATGTCTTTTACTTACTATCGCCCCTTACTGCTCCGTTGTTATCGAGCACCACAGAATTTCCCTCCTCTATACTTTGAAAGAGAGCAACAAGCCTGAGTGTAATTTTCCTATATGCAGTCCAAGCATTTGTAATCCCAACACAGGGGCTTGGAAAGTCGGCCTCCAATGATCCATTAAATATATTATAGGCGCCCGGATCTGGAGTCCATTTGGCTTGTTGTGCAGTGATGCTGAACGCATGTAAAACCTCAGCCAGTGCAGGATTCTGTCATTATTCACATCACATACACTTACAGATCCTGTGACTCCCAGTTTCCTGGCAGATGGTTCACTGTGACTTTGAAGCTCAGTTTGGCTAACTGATGAATGTGCCCCAAAACACTTCATATCCATTTTCACTTTGTGTTCATTTGATATCTGTAAAGTATAGAAAATGTTTGCTACTGCTGTCCTTTTATAAATACCATTGTTTTTTTTGCAGAATTTGTCACATTTGCACTCAAGCTACCAGTACATATCTTCTTGCTCTGCACTAACAAATTTAAGACAAGTGCTATCAAAAACTGAGCAGTGGACTATCACCTGTAATAAACCCCATGGGTAGATGCTGCCCAAAGTAAATATCTGAATGAGCCTGAAGCCAGGGGCAACAAGAGGGTAGTGCAGTGGAGATGGGCGAGATGCTATTTGTTACAACGCCTTATCCACTTTCTCTGAACAATGCTGTTAGCTCTCTCGCCAGTTTGTTGCTGGGTTCATCCATCACAGGCTAGGTAGTATGATAAAAAGGCTCAGGCCTAACCCACAGCAAGGAGCCAGCCGTGACGCCTCAGTTGACCTGTCAAACTGTAAGAGTTATTATACACTGTGGTGTTAAAGGTCAAAGGGAGCAGCAAGCTCAGAGGGTGTCAGTCCACAAAAACACACTCACATGAACAAACAGGACTCGGTAGATGAATGTAGGGGAATTAGCTGCAGTCCATGAATGGATGAGTAAATTGTGTAAGACGTTAAACATGTTGAGCATCAAATATATGAGTGTCTCTGTCTGCAGCATCTATTTAATACTGGTGTCGCGCTCATACAGGTAGCTGCACTAGAACAAAGAACAATTGCAGAGACGATTCTGAAGTAAATAACCTTTAGCATTTTTAGCTTGTTTAATGCTACCATGAAATATTCAATCACTTCAGCCACAGCTGGCTATTTAAGGAATGCAGCCTCTAC